AGGGAGGGAGGGACTCCAGCAATAACTGGGGAGGAGAACACGGGGTGGCCAAGAGCTCGTTGCTTTCCTCTGACCGGCTCTGCGTCCGTCGCGCTGAGCATCGCCAGAGCGCGCTAGGCAGGGAGGGGCAGTGGGCGGCCCGGCGGCCAGCACGGGGTCTCTCAAGGTCAGGGACTGAGTCATTACACGCTGGCTTCACCTCCCGCCCCCCGCGCCCAGCCGGGCCTGCAGAGAGCCCCAGAGGGCCGCAGGTGCGGCAGTGCGGGCTGCCCAGCTCCCGCGTTCACTTTCCGCCTCAGGACATTTATTTTTATTTCCTGCTGAGATCCACAGATGCTGACAGCAGCAGTTTTTTTGTTTTTTTTTTTTTGGTAGTACTAGAATTTGAACTCAGGACCTGGGCGCTGGCCCTGAGCTGCTTTTGCTCAAGGCTGGCGCTCTACCACTTGAGCCACAGCACCACTTCCGGCTTTATATATCATATATATGAGATACATATATCTCATAGATGATACGATATAGCTGATATATGCTATGATCATATAGATGATATATGTGACATGATATATCACATATTCAATATAGCATGTATATGACATACATCACATGATCTATGAGACACACGCCGTATGATATATAGCACATATACATGATCTATCATATGTGTGCTGGAGCACACACATTGTATGTGCTATGAGATTTGTCATCGATCATCTATAGCTCATATATATCCTATACATATATCGTATGTAAGATTTGTGCATATATGCACAGATAGTTCATCTCTACCTCATATTTATGTGTGTGTGTATGTATGTATACTACATATACACAGCCATAGTCTCTAGGTCTCTGAAATACGGTCAGTACCACCATTTTTTAACCTCTTTGTTGTTGTTGTTGTTTTTGTAGGTTGTGGGTCTTGAACTCAGGGCCTGGGCGCTGTCCCTCAGCTCTTCAGCTCAAGGCTGGCGCTCTACCACTTGGCCACAGCACCACCTCCGGTTTTCTGGTGGTTCACTGGCGATCAGAGTCTCACGGACTTTCCTGCCAGGCTGGCTTCGAACCACGATCCTCACATCTCAGCCTCCTGAGTAGCTGGGACGACAGGCGTGAGCCACCTGGGCCCTGGGCAGAAATCTCTATCTTGATGAGGACACTGACGTCGGTAAAGTTCTTTTCATTAATACATTAAGCTGGGGGGCGTCGTTCAAGCCTGTAATCCTAGCCACCTGGGGGACAGAGATACAATGTCCAAGGACACGGCAGGTCAAAAGCAGCCCAGGCAGTAAAGTTCTCTAGACGCCATCTCAACCAAAATGGCCGGGCATGGTGGCATACGCCTGTCATCCCCACCGACACAAAGAAGCACAAGTAAGAGGAACGCAATCCAGGCAAGGCATAAAGACTTTAGCTGGAAAGTAACTGGTGCACAAGGGTCCGGAGGCAGAGTTCAGACAAGGAGCTCAGTTCTGAATCCTTGAGCTCAATCCCCAGCATCGACCCTGAAATATGTCAGGAAGGCAAAGCATTCTTCTGATGAGCCGATCGATGATCGATCAGGGCTGATCAATTATCAGCCTCCTCGCCTGCTTCGCGGAGAGTCTGGTGCAGAAATGTGCTCAGCGCAGCAGCTGCTCCACAGGGAGAATTATGAAAAAACACCCTTCGCCGTTCTACTTCAGCAGTTTTATTTCGGGAAGTGATTTACATGAGAGAGGAGGAAAAAAAGCTCCGTTTTTTTCCAGAAAAGAAAGTCCCTAACATTCAAGGAAGAAAGGAGAAAGCGATTGAAGGACTCACTCAAGAGTTTTGTCATGGCTGATAAGCAGAAAAAATCACCTTCGAATGTGAGGGAGAAAAATAATCATCCAGAGCCACGCGCCGGTGGCTCCCGCCCGTCATCCCAGCTCCTCAGGAGGCTGAGATCTGAGGATCGCTGGTTCAAAGCCAGCCTGGACAGGAAAGCCCATGAGACTCTCATCTAGAATAAACCACCAGAAAACCAGAAGTGGGGCTGTGGCTCAAGTGGTAGAGCACCAGCCTTGAGCAAAAAGAAGCTCAGGGACAGCAACCAGGCCCTGAGTTCAAGACCCAGTACCAATGTGTGCGCGCATGCACACGCGCGCGTGCGCACACACACACACACTAATATAAAATAAAATAAAAATGTAAAAAGAATTAAGGGCTGGCTCAGTGGTAGAGCGCTTGCCTAGCATGCCTGAAGCCCTGGGTTCGATTCCTCAGCACCCCAGACACAGAAGAAAGCTGCAATGTGGCGCTGTGGCTCAAGTGGTAGAGCACCAGCCTTGAGTAAAAAGAGGCTCAGGGACAGCGCCCAGGCCCTGAGTTCAAGACCCACGAGGGCTGGCAAAAAATTAAAAATTAAAAAAAAATGGAGCCATTTTTCTGAATGACACAGATACCTGCTGGAGATTTAGTCAACTCTAAGAATAAAAAGATTAACAACAAAAGCACCGGTCAGTCGGGCACCAGTAGCTCCCGCCTGTCATCCCAGCTACTCAGGAGGCTGAGCTCTGAGGATCGCGGCTCGAGGCCAGCCTGGCCAGGAAAGTCTGTGAGACTCTGATCTCCAATGAACCACCAGAAGGCTGAAGGTGGTGCTGTGGTTCAAGTGGTAGAGCACCAGCCTTGAATGAAAGGGCTCAGGGACAGCGCTCAGGTCCTGAGTTCAAGCCCCAGCACTGGCAAAATAAATAAGTACACAAATAAATAAATAACTAGAGGACGCTGGACAGAGTGGGGCTTCTTTGAACAAAATGACTGATCCTCCCCGTGATTGGTGGCAGCTCTGACACTAAGCACAGAGATCCCAGAGGAAGCCGGAGACACCGATTGGGTGTCCGTGGCCCGTCTCGTTTGTTTCCGATTCCCTCTCCCTCCTTCCTGCCTATCCAGAAGGTTCCTGTTTCCCAGGCCAGCAGGAGCTGGTGAGTGTGCCGGCCTCCTCTCCTCTTACCTCTGCCGAATGATGCTGGGATTGGCTGTCACCAGATGCGTTTTGGAGCCCACATCTTTAGTGTACTCGCTCGACAAGGGAGGGAGATTGCATCTACAAACAGAAGGGGGAAAAACAGCATTTGAGAATGAGCGGTGTGTGTGTGTGTGTGTGTGTGTGTGCGCGTGCGCGTGGGCTTGAACGCATGGCCTGGGTGCTGCCCTTGAGGGTTTTTTGGTTTTCTTTTTGCTCAAGGCTGGCACTCTACCTCTTGAGCCACACCCCCACTTCCTGCTTTTTGGTGGTTCATTCAGAGTCTCACAGACTCTCCTGCCCCAGGCTGGCTTTGAACTGCGATCCTCGGATCTCAGCCTCCTGAGTCGCTGGGATGACAGGCGTGAGCCACCAGTGTCTGGCTAGATGCTGACTGTTAAAGAAGCAATGACCAGACTAGGAAGGTGGCTCAGTGGTAGAGTGCTCGCCTAGCATGCATGAAGCCCTGGGTTCGATTCCTCAGCACCACACACACAGAAAAAGCCAGTAGTGGCAGCTGTGGCTCAGGTGGTAGAGCGCCAGCCTTGAGCACAGAGAGGCTCAGGGACAGCGCCCAGGCCCTGCGTTCAAGCCCCAGGACCGGCAAAGAAAAAAAAAAAAAAGGAAAAAAGAGGAAGAGAAAGAAGAATGAGGAGGAGGAAGAGAAGCTATGACCTTCAATGCCCTTGGAGATTAAAGAATCAACCATGATTGGTTAAAATGGTTAGCTCTGAGCATGGAGGGAGTGTGCTGTATATTGGATTGATCGTTGCAAAACAAATCAAGTTGGTAGGAAATCTACCATGGGTAAAAGCTCAAGAAAACTTGCAGGTGCTACTTATAACTACCCTGTAGTAACAGAGGGGCATGCGTGTAACAGTAATGATCAAATCTTTTGTGGGTTTTGTTTTTGTAGGTCATGGGGCTTGAACTCAGGGCCTGGGCGCTGTCCCTCAGCTCTTTCACTCCAGGCTGGCGCTCTACCCCCTGAGCCACAGCGCCACTTCCGGTTTCCTGGTGGCTCTCCGGAGATCATGGCCTTTCCTGCCCGGGTTGGCCTTGAACCGCGGTCCTCAGCTCTCAGCCTCCCGAGGAGCTGGGCTGGCAGGCGGGGTCTCAGGTGCTTTTCATGTGTTTAAAACGCACACATGGT